GGATGGGAGGCATCATGACGATCCATAATACTAGTTGAATAGGGTTTAAAGTAATATGATAGACCTGTAGGAGCAAAATTAGGTAAAACAGAGTGTACCAGTGAGTCCGGAAGGTCGAAAATAGCCAGGAAAGGTATGCTGGACAGAGATAATGTCAGCAAATATGTCAGTGGCGCACGTTAGCAGAGTGCAGGAAGGAACACGTTAGCAGGAAGCGGCGGTGCACGGTAGCAGTCAGGCGCAGACGCGGCGCACGGTAGATGATTCGGCGCACGCGGGTGCACAATAGCAGGCGCGGCGTACGGGAGAGGCAGCGCTGACGTCAGCCGCGGGTCGTGTGGGCGCGTGTAGGCGCGTGTCGAAAGAGAGAAACAACGGATGACGCGTGCGGGCGCGTGTGAGAGTGGTGGCGGAAATGGTGACGCGCAGTGGACACTGGTGGCGCGTGTTGGTGCGTGAAAGGTTTTCTGAGGCCGGGCTTGGTGCCGTTGGAATCGTGAGGAAATTCCGAGTGGTTTGATGTAGTGCCGCTGTGGATGGGACTAAACACCAAAATTGCAAATTGCCAGAAATGTAACACTGTGCTCTGATACCATGAAATAATAATTGGAGAAAGTGAGAGAAGATAGAGATGAGCGAATAGAGAGAGAGAGAGAGGCACAATTGTTTCTATAAATTGTATATATCAATTACACAAAGAAGGCACTCTATTTATAGAGGATGCCTTGGATGCCTTGGATGATTGCCCACCGAAAGGTGCTACACTATGAACAATTAAATAATGATACACTAACATAATGCTACACTATGAACAATTAAATAATGATACACTAACATAATGCTACACTACACTAACAAACACAATGATGATACACTAATATACACTAACATGGACTATCCAGAGCACGTGTTGTGGTCTTGCTAATCATATCTTTGTTGGGTTTGTACTTTCTACGGTATAAGAAGTGGAGGAAAAAGAGAGATGATCAAGGGGAGTTGGGGTCTAGGCGAGCAAGAACAATGATCAGGCCTAACATGGGTTCGAAATGGTTCACAATTCACGAGCTCAAGAAGGCAACCAAGAATTTCTCATCAACCAATCTCATCGGGAGAGGAAGTTTTGGGGTTGTCTATAAAGGGACCTTAGCTGATGGTAGCATGATTGCAGTTAAACAACTCATAAAATTAGATTTTTAAGGAAATGAAGAGTTCTACAATGAAGTTGACATTCTCAGCAATCTGAAGCATCGAAATCTCGTGCCTCTCAGAGGCTGCTGTTGTAGAGTGTCAAATTATGAAGATGAAAACAATGTGCTGTATGAAGAGATTGGCCAGATTCAATACCTGGTGTACGATTACATGCCAAACGGTAATCTTAATGACCATTTGCTTCCTTCAGATCAAAACCATAAGCAACCACTAAATTGGCCTCAAAGGAAGAGCATAATCTTGGATGTGGCAAATGGGTTAGCTTACTCAAGGCAACAAATATACTGTTAGACGGAGAGATGAGGGTGAGAGTGGCCGATTTTGAATTGGCAAAAGAAAGCAGAGAAGGGCAGTCTCATCTCACTACTAGTAAGGTTGTTGGAACACATGGGTATTTGGCTCCAGAGTATGCACTGTATGGGCACTTTAGCGAGAAGAGTGATGTGTGTAGTTTCGGGGTGGTGGTTTTGGAGATGATGTGTGGGAGGAAAGCTCTTGGTGGTGGTGATTTTGATTTGAACTCATCAAAGGAGTCGCTGGTTTGGGCATTGGTGCTCACAGATTGGTGTTGGTCACTGGTGAAGGCGGGGAAGATGGAAGAGGCTTTGGATAGTTTATTGTTGAGAGAGATTGGTGGAGGAGATGAAGCAAGTGCAAGTGTGAAGGCGGTGGTGGAAAGGCTTTTAGTAGTTGGGGTTTTGTGCGCTCATGCAATGGTTTCTGTGAGGCCTACCATTTTGGATGTGATTAAGATGTTGGAAGTAGATGTTGAGGTTCTTACTGTTCCGAAGAGGCCAACACCTCTTATGGAAAATTAAAAATCCTAGTGTATATAGTGTACATAACAAATATCATGTGGATATGTAAGATTTGGTGACATTTGTTGTTTTCATCTAGTGACATATTTTGAAGACATTTGTACGTTGTATGAGAGTTGGGTAAATTACACTTGACATCCTGCACTTGTTCTCGTTTTGATCCCTTATTTTTCAACAGCAATGCTAGGTATCATGAAAAATATTTCATGAAAATAATCATGAAAGTTTTGTGACCCTTAGATTACACTTAGAATAAAGCACCACACACTAATCAAGGTAATCCAAGGATCATAAATCCTTCATGATCATTTTCATGAAAAAAATTTCATGATCTCTAACTTTTCTCATTTTTCAATTGCAACAGTTAACCCATTCCATTTATTGTCAAGTTCCAATGTCACTCTTCTGTTAATTGGGTGTTGAGTCATTTTTTAGGGTACCTATGCAATTTTACTACCTTTCTTTTTCTTCTTCTTCTTCTTCTTCTTCTTCATTTCTAAAAGAGAAAAGTTAGGGATCATGAAAAAAATTTCATAAAAATGATCATGAAAGAATTATAACCATTGGATTATCTTGATTAGTGTATGGTGCTTCGTTTTAACTGTAATCCAAGGGTCATAAATCTTTCATGATCATTTTCATGAAATTTTTTTCATGATATCTAGTATTGCTTTTTCTAAAATGATTCTCTCTACCAATCCTTTCGTCCCTTCCCCCACCCCCTCCCCACCACCTAGAGTCACCACTACCCCTTCACCCCTTCACCCATCCATTACCACCCCATGTCACCAAAGCTGAATGTGGTGAGGTTAGTGGCATCACAGGCTTGTACAAATGATGTGCTGAAAGCAAAGCGCATGTCGGGCATCAACCCAACTAAGCCACCTGAAGCTTGAGAAGATTGAGGCCCCAGACAAGGAATAAAAAATTTATGATTAAAAAAAAAAATAAAAAACACACAACACAATGAATAACTGGGACCTGACCAAGAACTAACAGGTGGTATACGAACCCATTGAAGCTCACCATCAATTCTCCAAACGATAGATAATGGAATGTCTATATTGTACTTTGACTAAAATTGTAATGGATTTACTATTGCAATTAGAAAAATGAGAAATTAAAGTGAAATTCGGTGTATAGTACATGGATGCTAAGTATAATTTATCCTAGAGGGCATAGACCAAGGGTTGGCTTAGCGGAAAAGGTGCTCCGTTACCAGGTGTGAGTGATATCTGGGCTCAAATCTTGTTATTTAATGTCGTTTATCGTTTTCCTATTCTGGTCCTACACATTCAATGAAAAAATAATAATAAATATAATAATAATAATTTACCCTTAAAAGTTACCTGGAAAAAAAAAAAAAAAATGTTTTGCATAGAAGAATTGGAAATCTAATAAATAGAAGTAAACATAGGATCTATCTGAAGAGACAAACTTTAGGCCGTGTTTGGTTATGTTTGCCAAACACATTTCCACCTACTTTCATGAGTGTAGTGTTTGTTTTCAGCTTTCAAATTATAATTCTATACTCACTTTTGAAAACTCCTTTCAAGGCGGGAAAATTTGGCTAACCCAGTCGTCCTCCCGGACGTCTAGCCGGTTGAATGGAACAGTGTTCTCTTTTTTTTTTTTTTTTTTTGGCACCTGTTATTTTTATATTGTAAATAAAAAATATTTTCACAATTTTTTTTATTTTTATATGAGCTTTAAATAGAATTTTAGGTTATGTGTTTGGTTATGAGCTTTAAGTTCTTCAGTCAAATAACTTTTCTAATTTCAAAAACTCAAAACTCCCTCCAAAATTCTTTTCAAAACTCATAACCAAACAAACTTTCCACACTCAAATCATAATTTTAAAACTCACAAACTCAAAATATAATTCTATTCTCAAATCGTATTTAGAAAACTCTACCAAACGCTACCTTACATTTTCCATGGTGCACTTGTATTATTACTAAGAAACCAGTACGTGGAATCATGGTTTAATGCTATATCCTCAAGATCAAGAACAGAACACAAAATTTATTAGTCTACTAGAAAAAAGACAGCATATAGAGAAATTTTGACTGCTTTAACAAAAATGAAGGCATGAATTGCAGTGTTTACCTATTTGGTAGTGTTTTTATTCTCTCCATTTTGGTTTTTTGTCTTTTCAAAAGCAAAAACAACAGAGAGTTTAAAAATATCCATCATTTTTATTTCATTTTCATTTTGGTAAAAAAATAATTTTCAAACATTCAAAAACAATTTTTTTGGTGTCTCATAGAATGTGGCTTGCTTTCAGAAAATTTTTTCCGAAAACAGTTTCCCAATCAAGTTTCTATATTTTCAAGAAGGTAAAATAGACAACAGAAAAGGTTAACACAACCAAACATGTGACGATATTTTGTTGCAGGAAAAGGTGGTGTTAAGGATCCGAAATGACAACAAAAGATAATGCAACAAAACCACAAGAAGATAGTAGGCATAACAGGTAAACTTGCCATTGATGCAGTAACATGCCCAACTTTCGCTGAGGAAAAATATTGGGTTGCTGAACTAGTAAACATCAACCTGATTATAGGAAGGAAGAGGAAACAAGAAGGAAATGTTAGTTTATTGCAAAGTGAATCTAACTTCCGTGCAATCAAATAAGACTTTTGCTGAAGCACAAACTGGAAAAACATTCGGACCTGGTCAAATGGTGGTCAAATCAATCTTGCTTCCCAGATAGCGTGCTACTCGAGGATTAGAGTTTGTGGTATTTTCCTTCGGAAATTAAATATGTAAAACAATCTATTTATTAGAAGATTTATTCTTTTATGGTATTGCATCAATTTCAGTAATGATCATCATTACTTAATCCATTAGAAGAAAACCTGCATAATTCCCAAAATTTTATTTCACTGCCAAAATAAATTGCTTTACTAAGATAGATATCCAAGACAAAACAGGAAAACAGAAAAGAAAAGGTAGAGAGACAGTAGTCCATATGAAAGAAATCTCAAATGACATTTGGGCTTTAATAAGCTGAACACAAATAATTGGATTCTTATTTCATACAAAAATATTGGCAATGCCTATCAATCTCTGTGATCTCATTCAAATAACAAATTGAACTTCTAATGAACACTGGCAACATGAAAATAGCCGTCACTTGAATACAGAAATGAAGCCTGCGAAGGGAACTACAGATTCAAACAGATATTTCTGCTACCCATCATTCTTATATCTATAAATTACAAATGGAAAATAATTGACGGCAACAAAGTTGAAATAACCACAGGGACCATCAAACCTGCTTGCTTAGGAAGAGAGCTGTACACTGCTTTACAGTATCCTCAGGGCTGGTAACTGGGAATAGAACAAGAAAAAAGTTCACATTACCATGATTATAAAATTAAAATGGCAAAAGAGGAACATTGACATTGATATCCATTTAAAAAGCATTTGGGTACTCAATGAAAATGAAACTGTTCCATCTCAACTTGCAATATTTAATTCATTTTGTTTTCCATAGCATTTAAAACAAGTACAACCTGTTTTATGTACAATATCATTTGGAACGTTATAAGAAAATATCATCAATTTTCTTTCTTTTGTTGATGGATTCATTTTCTTTGGTAATTATCCAACTTTAACAAATGAGATAGATGCATGAGGATGCTGTCGAAAACAAAATGAATTGACTTGATCGAAGATTTTAGATTTCTTTGCAAATGGCACCATATTAACAATGCATTTGGTTCTCTGGATGCTATGGCAATAGAGAACTCCATGGTGTATTGAACTGCAAAAATAAGCTGAAATATAGAGCAGACCTGTGTGCCCCATGGTTCGCTCTGATTCGTATATCTCATGGTCATTTCCTCCCTATTCAAACAACATCCAAGCCCTTCCTTTAGTCCCAACAGTGTACCAAAAACTAGTCAGCAAAATAAAAACTGAACTCATACGACACGACACAACACAAGACATCACTACAGGGAATCGAACCTTCAATAACAAGTTAGTGTCACATGGCAAATACCATAAAAAGAAGTGGATTTCATGAAAATCATCCACATATCTCAAGCAATAAGTCTTGTCCCAACCTTGAGGGAAAACTTGTTAAAAACATGCAAGCATTAAGCCTAAACATAAATTCAACTGCAATGACTTATTATCATTTATTTTATCACCTTAAGAATCATCAAAGCATAAAGAAGGAATAACATTCACTCACATCAAAACTTATTTTTCCCTCAATGGAAAAGGTGAGGTTAAGGTGAGCAAATTTCTCACAGAGCACAGACACCATCTTAGGTCGTATGTTCAGAACCTGAATATAATTTTAGTATAGCAATTTTCAAGAGGTCCAATATCAACTGTGTTTCTTATAGAGACCCAGGTTTTGAACTTAATCTTAATCACAATTTAAGATATTGTACCTTGTCATATTTTTCAAACTCATCCCGTTCTTCCTGGCTGCAGTTTTGGCCAATTGGTGATACATTGAGCAACCCGCTTCGGAACGCTATAAATGTTCCACTAAAGAAGAAGTTGAATAAGAAACGGACTCAGAAGCTTAACATATATGGATAGTTGCAACCCGTGCCTGCACTTCACAAACATCTTTATTGCAATATCCAAGTCAGCAATGTAATGCAGCCCAAAATTAATAAATCCCTGCAAATCATTTAAAAATGTCATATCCATAAACTAATAATGTACCATAAATGTTTTTTCCATATATAGACCAAGCCTACCATCCAATGGCTACAACCAACATAACTTTTTATACCTAAACTGACTTTGACAACAACAACAAAAAATCAAAAAGTTTGCTCTTCTTGACCATACTATAAACAACTTGGAAAAAAATTGATGTTTCTGACAAGCATGTTGATCTGTAATCTTATTGAAGGATGGAGAGAGGGGCATATTTTGTTGTTTCTACCCTTAATAGTGTAATAAATATATGAGCCTAACTTTTCTAATTTTATGGTCCCTTTGGCTTCTTGCAAATTACATTTTTATTTTATTTTTTTTGGATAGGTAAGTTAAAGAAATGGATCTACTTAATGTGACTAACAAAATGGCCATTGATAGGGACGCATGGAGAAGAAGGATTCATGTAGTCGACCCCATTTGATAGGACTTAAGGCTTGGTTTGGTTAGGTAAGTTAAAGAAATTCAAACTTGGGTCTTGCCTCTAAGTTGCTAGAGTGTCCCCTTGGGGACTTGGCTTTTCGCAAATTACTAATTAATAACAATGCAGTTTGTTTAGTGAGTTAGTGTGCCTCCTTAGGATGTAGGAAAGAACAGGAGAAGGGTCTGACCTTAAGTTTTTCTTCTCCAAGATATGATCTCAAGCTCTGCAGAATTACGAATCCAGGAAAAAAAAAAATTTAAAAAAAAAAGGTAAGCAAAAGAACAAAAAATGGAAAAGATAACAAAGTGGACCCCAAGTGTATAAATATGGCTGAAGGCAACTTATCTTCTGCAAAACATATTAAAATTACATTCCATTGCTCAGGAACTTTAAGGTTGTTCAAGGAGATGAATTGGCAGATTTAATTTAAACAATATTAATAATGTTAGCAAATATTTATTGTTTCTCTACCTTTTTCAGAACTAAAATGGTTCAGAAGAGAACCTAAAGAATCTGTTGTATCAAGGCATTATTCAATAGCATTTTCCATTGAAGAGGCCAAATTATACACCCAATTTTCCTACATTTTGTACAATTATGTCTAAAATATTCAAGACCTTAGTTGTTCATAAGAACAGTGTGAAGAATTGTCAACATATTTATAAAAGTATCATTTGAATCTTGGACTTGAGATAAATAATTTCGGTATAGATTTAGACAATACCTGTGTCCCAATGAGCTTCCCATCCTTATAGGCCACAAGACCATTTTGCGCAAATAAATAATCATAGTCATAGTCATTTATAACTGCAAATATAGCGAACATGGAGTAAAAAGTCAAGCAGTCAGACACAATATTACTTCTAAAGAACTTTTGAAAGATAGAATGTAGGAAGACAAAGAAGACTAAAACGGAAAATGAGCCAGTAAAGTTTATACTGATCAAATCATATAAACAATGTGATCACCCACAAGGCAAGAACATACAATTCACAAAAAACAATATCTTGTTTGGTTTCAGAAAATTGAAACAATTTTTCAAAACATTGAGTTTTTTTGTTTATTGTGTTTTTTTTTGTTTTTAGTCAAAAATTTTAATATTTTAATTATTTTTTATTTTTTATTTTTTAGATGTACATAACCTAAAATATTTAATTTTTGTCTTTGTGGATGCAAAGTTGGGACCAATTGGGGATTGCATGTATAACTAAGAGAGAGAATGAGAGATTGTCACCGCTTGAATGTTATTTTACCCTTTTTCTCCACATCAAGGACTCCAAATATCTACAACATAGAGTAATCGCCATGAGATAGGTGATGAAATCAAGAAAGAATACCGTCTTAAATATGAAGACTTTCTCAAATCAAGTAGCTGTAAATTGTAGTGTTGTTTCACATTCCGTGGACAGCAAGTGAGCATAATTTATTCACGTATCTAATTTATTTCCACAACAAAGGCCTCATATCCATCCATTCAAGACTAAAGCCTAGTATTGTCTACATAGTTATACAGCTATGAAGTATGGGTACTTCTACAAACATGCTATACCCATACTAGGTACTCACCAGCATATGGTATTTCTGCATACGTACCGGGGTACACAAAACACATACCCAAATTTTTTCTTCCCAATTTTTGGCATACCCAGATGTACTTAGTATATACCCAAGTTATACCATACCTCAATCGAAATACTATTTTCTTCTACTACAGAGATAAAATTTCTTTCATTAGATTTTATTTTTATTTTTAATTTTATGCTTAGCATGATTATAAAATTAAGCTGTGGTTTGTAAGTTATTTAATATAATGACATTTAATTTTGGTTTATACCTTTACTTTTGACATTAAATGTTAATTGTAAGTTGAATTTTAACAAATTAAATCATTTAATTAATTTTTGTATTACTCCAAATTAAAAATAAATATTTTTTTACGAAAGTATCAAGCCGAAGCCGTACCCGTACCCGTACCCGTACCCTACTTTTTTTAGATTTTACCACATCGACATACCCGTACCGTTCTTCATAGTTATACAATATTGCATTTTCCTATTAGTGACCATAATTTCACATCCATTTTGTGTCACCACCAACTATGTTCCAGCAACTATGTTCAAGTCATCACAAAGACACAACATGGGTCTTTTAAGCAGCATGGACAGACATGGGACGTCACCACAGTCCAACATTGAAACTTAGTGACTCATCAAATCATAAGAAAATAGATACACAACAACAAATAAAAGTACTATTACATGGCAAATCGCATAGTTTATGATTCACAAATCTAATATACTGTGGTACTAACTTATATTGCCTTCTCCATTAATTAACTATCATTTGTGCAACTTAATGCTTAAGTATTTTTGTTCAAGTAAATCAGAGGAATTAATGACTATGATAATTGTCGTAGCCTTGCAGTCACTAGTGTGAAGTTTCTGGAGAACATCGTTCAATACTTGCTGCACTCACTTCTGTACAGGTTGATAAGAAAAACTAAGGAAAGACCTGCTTCTAGTATTTTTAAATTTGATACTTAACACAGGTTTTAATCAAGTGTGACAAGCCATTGCAGCTTTGGAATCCAATCAGGAGCTGAGCATCCTGTTATAAAACTTTGGAATGTCAGGGTCCCCAGTTTGCAAGTTCCAAGTGGTAATATATTTCTTTATTTTATTTTATTTTATTTTTTTGGACATTTGCAATCATAGCCTGGGGAGGGGGGGAACCTTGTCCATGGAAAGACATGAACCCTTGACCTCGATGAGAGATTCAAGAATTCTAGTCAACTGAACTAGTCCTACTTGGCTATGTATACATACTGAAAGTAGGCATATCAATCCACAAATAATAATCAATCATCTATCAATTTCATAATTGATTTGCTTCTAATTGGGCAATATGTGGATTTAGAGTGTCCTCACACTTGTAATGGGATCGTGTAAGTTGTAATTGAACTTTCTAGTAGTGAATTATATAGATATTTAATCATTGATGATGGCAGAGACAGATATAGCAGAATTTGTGTCTGGCGCAAAAGTGCAGATTATTATAATGACTTCTCTCTCCACCCACACCCCACTCCTTATAGGTAATTTATCATCCTCTTTTAAAATATGGTCAAATTGAAAAATTTTGTATAAACCTTTGATATTTCTTCATGATTAAAAATTTTCTCTAAACTAGATGAAATCAGTAACACAACATTTAAGTTCTGCGAGTTACATATTGGCCAGCATCAGGACATGTTGCCCAACTGTCATAAATCATGAAGTTTAATTTTTGAATAAAGAACACCTTTAACATGTGTCCTACACAACTCCGGAAGTGTGAAAAGTACCGGCATTTGACACACACAAATCCTTGTTAAAAATTTGTTTTGTGACTATTTTATTGTTCAAATGTATATTGACCTTCACTCCATGGCAAATTAAATTTTAAAAAATATATATGTAACAAATGATTTTTCAGTTCAAATGTCAGAAATCGAAAAAGAACTAGACAAAAATGTCATACTTAAAAAGGCCTTTCAAGCATGGAGACAAAAAAAGGATATTCATATTAAAGATCAGTAGGTTACATAAAAAGTGAAAAATACTTGGTAACTAACCTTTTCAGAAAGATTACAAGCCTTCAATCTCAGAACCCTGAAGAAATTATGGATTTTAACCTGTCCACTGTGAGCACGATGCAAACAGTGAGATAAACAATTCTTGCATCGCCGCCAACTTAAGCGCTATTGATATTAACACAAACTCAAATGCAAGTAGACAAACTCAAGAGAGAAAAGAAAGCATTTCAGTGCTGCATGTTGAAATTAGGACAGAATTAAGCATATTTAGATACACATGGTCTACATCTTCAGTTTAGTGAAGCCCTACAGTATGTTATAATAGTCACAAATCACAATAATAATAAAAAAGTGTCAATTTCAGAACCCAGCAGTTGGAAGAAAATTGAGCTCAAATGTTTTAAAATTATGCGTAAAAGAAAATATAAAGAGAAGAAAAGCCCGTTATGATAATGATTAATAAATTTCACCACAACAGCAAGATTATCCAGTGCAACGAATATACCACATACTGATGAGGATAAAAATATATATATTCACAGAAATACTCATTATCAACTTTAATTATAACCCTACCAAGGATTTGATATATCTGAGAAAAATGGAAGAAGCAATAACTTATGCTTTAAAATCAAATAATGGAATATCAAGAATAATTTGATTTAGCCACCAAAAAATCCCTTATTTGCATCGTTGGCATGGATGCAGCGTTAGTTCAATGAAAATATACTTTATAATAAACTCAAATAAAAATCACATATACAAGCGAAAGAAAGGAAAAAGAAACAGAATAGAAAGAACACATGAAATGAAGGCAGATAAAATGAAAAAAATGTTAGAATTTACCAATTTACTCCTCCACCTACCATCTCCACTAGCACCCACTTCACCTACCACCTCCACTACACTACACCTACTACCCAAACCCTCTCCTATATAATGCCACTCTGATTTGTAATACAACATATCAATACAACAATCTTGTAATCAATCAATCAATAATAATACATCATTTTATTTTACAATATCAATTTATTTTACATGGTATCAGAGCAAGGTTAACAATCTAGTCATTCTGCTTCACCGGCGGGCGGCAGTCTCGCCTTGACCGCCCGCCGGACCTCTACACATACCTTGATCTTTGACTGGGCTGACTATTCCTGTCACTCTCCGTTCTTTTGAATTAGGAAGAACTTCATCAGTGAGCTTGTGATTTCCCCTTGTGGTGGCAGAACAGTTTTAACAGCCAAGATGTGGGAGATAGAGGTGGAAGAAGCCATGTGATTCTCTCCCAATCTCTCTCTCTCTCACTCGCTGCCGTTGGGATCACATAAGTCCAAACACTCCTTTGATGGACTCACTCTCGCCGGCGATCGCCTCCAAAATCGTTCTTCCGGCGAGAAATTCATACCAATTCCTCGGCCCGGTTCTTCCGAGTTTGAGGCCAAGCTTCAGCCGACTTTGCAAGAAGATTTGCGTCCATGCGGAGAACACGACCCCTACGCCGATCGCTCCCGCGATTGACTTCAGCGATCCTCATTGGAAGTCCAAGTTCCAGAACGACTTCGAGGCTCGATTCAACATTCCTCACCTCACTGACATTTTCCGTGACACTCTCCCCATTCCCTCCACTTTTTGCCTCAAGATGAGGTATCTTAAATCTAATTTTTTTTACTATAAGATCCACATGTTTGTTGATTTTAAAATTTTTGGATAAATATTTGGAATTTGGACTTATATATTTGGTCTGAAATTGAAATTTCTGATTGATCGCCTTTTATGTTAATAAATTTGTGCTGAGTTGTGTCAGTTGGAATTATAATTTTCCCCACAAATACTTGTTACCCTTCATTTATGTAGAGCTTGTTACCCTCCATTTATGAGTTGTGTCAGTCAATTAGAACTTTCTTAATTGATCTGTAGCTACCTTGCAACTACATTTTTTTTTTTTTTTCTACAACGGTCCGACATGACCCCATAAACTGTTTTTCTACAACGGTCCGACATGACCCCATAAACTGTTTTTCTACAACGGTCCGACATGACCCCATAAACTGTTTTTCTACAACGGTCCGACATGACCCCATAAACTGTTTTTCTACAACGGTCCGACATGACCCCATAAACTGTTTTTCTACAACGGTCCGACATGACCCCATAAACTGTTTTTCTACAACGGTCCGACATGACCCCATAAACTGTTTTTCTACAACGGTCCGACATGACCCCATAAACTGTTTTTCTACAACGGTCCGACATGACCCCATAAACTGTTTTTCTACAACGGTCCGACATGACCCCATAAACTGTTTTTCTACAACGGTCCGACATGACCCCATAAACTGTTTTTCTACAACGGTCCGACATGACCCCATAAACTGTTTTTCTACAACGGTCCGACATGACCCCATAAACTGTTTTTCTACAACGGTCCGACATGACCCCATAAACTGTTTTTCTACAACGGTCCGACATGACCCCATAAACTGTTTTTCTACAACGGTCCGACATGACCCCATAAACTGTTTTTCTACAACGGTCCGACATGACCCCATAAACTGTTTTTCTACAACGGTCCGACATGACCCCATAAACTGTTTTTCTACAACGGTCCGACATGACCCCATAAACTGTTTTTCTACAACGGTCCGACATGACCCCATAAACTGTTTTTCTACAACGGTCCGACATGACCCCATAAACTGTTTTTCTACAACGGTCCGACATGACCCCATAAACTGTTTTTCTACAACGGTCCGACATGACCCCATAAACTGTTTTTCTACAACGGTCCGACATGACCCCATAAACTGTTTTTCTACAACGGTCCGACATGACCCCATAAACTGTTTTTCTACAACGGTCCGACATGACCCCATAAACTGTTTTTCTACAACGGTCCGACATGACCCCATAAACTGTTTTTCTACAACGGTCCGACATGACCCCATAAACTGTTTTTCTACAACGGTCCGACATGACCCCATAAACTGTTTTTCTACAACGGTCCGACATGACCCCATAAACTGTTTTTCTACAACGGTCCGACATGACCCCATAAACTGTTTTTCTACAACGGTCCGACATGACCCCATAAACTGTTTTTCTACAACGGTCCGACATGACCCCATAAACTGTTTTTCTACAACGGTCCGACATGACCCCATAAACTGTTTTTCTACAACGGTCCGACATGACCCCATAAACTGTTTTTCTACAACGGTCCGACATGACCCCATAAACTGTTTTTCTACAACGGTCCGACATGACCCCATAAACTGTTTTTCTACAACGGTCCGACATGACCCCATAAACTGTTTTTCTACAACGGTCCGACATGACCCCATAAACTGTTTTTCTACAACGGTCCGACATGACCCCATAAACTGTTTTTCTACAACGGTCCGACATGACCCCATAAACTGTTTTTCTACAACGGTCCGACATGACCCCATAAACTGTTTTTCTACAACGGTCCGACATGACCCCATAAACTGTTTTTCTACAACGGTCCGACATGACCCCATAAACTGTTTTTCTACAACGGTCCGACATGACCCCATAAACTGTTTTTCTACAACGGTCCGACATGACCCCATAAACTGTTTTTCTACAACGGTCCGACATGACCCCATAAACTGTTTTTCTACAACGGTCCGACATGACCCCATAAACTGTTTTTCTACAACGGTCCGACATGACCCCATAAACTGTTTTTCTACAACGGTCCGACATGACCCCATAAACTGTTTTTCTACAACGGTCCGACATGACCCCATAAACTGTTTTTCTACAACGGTCCGACATGACCCCATAAACTGTTTTTCTACAACGGTCCGACATGACCCCATAAACTGTTTTTCTACAACGGTCCGACATGACCCCATAAACTGTTTTTCTACAACGGTCCGACATGACCCCATAAACTGTTTTTCTACAACGGTCCGACATGACCCCATAAACTGTTTTTCTACAACGGTCCGACATGACCCCATAAACTGTTTTTCTACAACGGTCCGACATGACCCCATAAACTGTTTTTCTACAACGGTCCGACATGACCCCATAAACTGTTTTTCTACAACGGTCCGACATGACCCCATAAACTGTTTTTCTACAACGGTCCGACATGACCCCATAAACTGTTTTTCTACAACGGTCCGACATGACCCCATAAACTGTTTTTCTACAACGGTCCGACATGACCCCATAAACTGTTTTTCTACAACGGTCCGACATGACCCCATAAACTGTTTTTCTACAACGGTCCGACATGACCCCATAAACTGTTTTTCTACAACGGTCCGACATGACCCCATAAACTGTTTTTCTACAACGGTCCGACATGACCCCATAAACTGTTTTTCTACAACGGTCCGACATGACCCCATAAACTGTTTTTCTACAACGGTCCGACATGACCCCATAAACTGTTTTTCTACAACGGTCCGACATGACCCCATAAACTGTTTTTCTACAACGGTCCGACATGACCCCATAAACTGTTTTTCTACAACGGTCCGACATGACCCCATAAACTGTTTTTCTACAACGGTCCGACATGACCCCATAAACTGTTTTTCTACAACGGTCCGACATGACCCCATAAACTGTTTTTCTACAACGGTCCGACATGACCCCATAAACTGTTTTTCTACAACGGTCCGACATGACCCCATAAACTGTTTTTCTACAACGGTCCGACATGACCCCATAAACTGTTTTTCTACAACGGTCCGACATGACCCCATAAACTGTTTTTCTACAACGGTCCGACATGACCCCATAAACTGTTTTTCTACAACGGTCCGACATGACCCCATAAACTGTTTTTCTACAACGGTCCGACATGACCCCATAAACTGTTTTTCTACAACGGTCCGACATGACCCCATAAACTGTTTTTCTACAACGGTCCGACATGACCCCATAAACTGTTTTTCTACAACGGTCCGACATGACCCCATAAACTGTTTTTCTACAACGGTCCGACATGACCCCATAAACTGTTTTTCTACAACGGTCCGACATGACCCCATAAACTGTTTTTCTACAACGGTCCGACATGACCCCATAAACTGTTTTTCTACAACGGTCCGACATGACCCCATAAACTGTTTTTCTACAACGGTCCGACATGACCCCATAAACTGTTTTTCTACAACGGTCCGACATGACCCCATAAACTGTTTTTCTACAACGGTCCGACATGACCCCATAAACTGTTTTTCTACAACGGTCCGACATGACCCCATAAACTGTTTTTCTACAACGGTCCGACATGACCCCATAAACTGTTTTTCTACAACGGTCCGACATGACCCCATAAACTGTTTTTCTACAACGGTCCGACATGACCCCATAAACTGTTTTTCTACAACGGTCCGACATGACCCCATAAACTGTTTTTCTACAACGGTCCGACATGACCCCATAAACTGTTTTTCTACAACGGTCCGACATGACCCCATAAACTGTTTTTCTACAACGGTCCGACATGACCCCATAAACTGTTTTTCTACAACGGTCCGACATGACCCCATAAACTGTTTTTCTACAACGGTCCGACATGACCCCATAAACTGTTTTTCTACAACGGTCCGACATGACCCCATAAACTGTTTTTCTACAACGGTCCGACATGACCCCATAAACTGTTTTTCTACAACGGTCCGACATGACCCCATAAACTGTTTTTCTACAACGGTCCGACATGACCCCATAAACTGTTTTTCTACAACGGTCCGACATGACCCCATAAACTGTTTTTCTACAACGGTCCGACATGACCCCATAAACTGTTTTTCTACAACGGTCCGACATGACCCCATAAACTGTTTTTCTACAACGGTCCGACATGACCCCATAAACTGTTTTTCTACAACGGTCCGACATGACCCCATAAACTGTTTTTCTACAACGGTCCGACATGACCCCATAAACTGTTTTTCTACAACGGTCCGACATGACCCCATAAACTGTTTTTCTACAACGGTCCGACATGACCCCATAAACTGTTTTTCTACAACGGTCCGACATGACCCCATAAACTGTTTTTCTACAACGGTCCGACATGACCCCATAAACTGTTTTTCTACAACGGTCCGACATGACCCCATAAACTGTTTTTCTACAACGGTCCGACATGACCCCATAAACTGTTTTTCTACAACGGTCCGACATGACCCCATAAACTGTTTTTCTACAACGGTCCGACATGACCCCATAAACTGTTTTTCTACAACGGTCCGACATGACCCCATAAACTGTTTTTCTACAACGGTCCGACATGACCCCATAAACTGTTTTTCTACAACGGTCCGACATGACCCCATAAACTGTCTTCTACATCGGTCTGACACCGCCATCCAGTGTCCTCTACACCGTTATGACACCCCTATACAGTGTCCTCTACAACGTTATGACACCACCATCCAGTGTCTTCACCAATGGTCTGACACGACCATACAGTGTCTCCTATCCTTTTTTTTATGTATTTTCTTGTTTTGTTACTCTCTCCAAACTCAAGTTGGTTAGTTTCTCTCCTCCTTGAGTTTGCGGGGGGCTGTTAGAATTTCCCATCTTTACCTTCACCTACTCCACTACACACTCCACTTCACCTACCTCCACTTCACCACACACTCCACTTCACCTAACCCACTATCACCTCCACTACACCTACTACCACATTTTCTTCTATATATAGATTGTATAGGAATTGTAATTAATCAATCTTGTAATACATCAAAATATCAATCAATAATACAATCATTTCTTTTTATACATTAAATTTCTACATAATATATAGATTAATCAATAGTCATTAATAAAAACATTAATTCAACTTATTTATTTTGGAAGAGAGGAATTATAAGCGTTAAATGGTGTGCTTCAAGGCCTACACCTAATACATTATGAGATTCCAAGGAGACAATGTAAATTCCATCATTGCAACTGCATCAAATATTCTTGGTCCATCGCAAAAAAGGTCATCAAATTAAGGTTAACAGCTCAAATCTAGCACTTCATAGAATGTTTGAATGAAGTACAAGATCATTTTTGCCAACCTAAAAGCAAGATAAACTATAAAAGCCAAAACACATGGAGCACGAAAAGTGACCTGTTTGGATGCGGAAGTTTTTGCAAGCAACATGATATCCCCATAGGAATGAGATGTTTGTACAGTTATGTAACCAATCAAGACTCAGCCATCCAGGATTCAATCCAAGACCAGACTAGAGATATGTTGTCCTGCAAACCAAACAAGTCAAGTATTAGTTCAACTTGTTGTAACAGAGTGAGTTAGGTAGATATTTTAGTTAGATATTTTGTAAACATGTGGAGTGTATATAAGGTATTGTATCTCTGAGTTTTCAATCTAACGAAAATCATTCAATTTCAATAACTTCTTCATGTGTAACATTAAGAGAGGTAGCAATAGCATGGCTAGTCTGCATATATCCATCAGGGATGAATTGATAGATTAAAAACACAGTATCCACAAATAACTTAGAGAGAATGATATATATACTCAAGGTAGCTCAAGTGGCAAATCAAGACAAATCCAAAATGGAGTGTGCTGTTAGATAATCATCAAGCTCACAAAAATAGGATTCTTCTCCATAGTATAAAGAAGTTCTAAGAATCAACCATTGCAGAGCCAGAAACGTCCATTAAACAATTCACCACTACTATCAACCTCCAATTATACATAATTTACACTAATAAACTTGTGTAATACACAAAACTAGATCAAGTAATTTATAGTTACCAAATTACAAATAACATAATGAAAGCAGAAACCACGATAGTTAATTTTTACAAAAATCTAATATATGACCGCTTGCAAGTTGCATCACTAATACTAAAATTTCATAAATGCTAATAAAGTTAAACAATTGATTCCATAAATCATAATGTATAATATTTTCCTTCATTAAAACCATAATGCTAATAATGTATAATAATTTTTAGTTCATAGTAACATTATTTTTTTATTTCTTTTGCATGAATGACTATATGAATCTCAATTTGTTTAATTAATCAATTATTAGGCTTTTATACATTTACATATATATTTCAATTTACATTTTCAAACATTTCTATTTTATCTTCATTTCATAAAATATTTCCGAGATGTTTTTGTTTCTGTACTATTTGAAACAACACACTAAAAAGAAATTTTGATCTTTGTATATATAATATTACTTGAAATCCAAAGACCAATAATCATCAATTGGCTGATTCTTCGTGCACAAATGCGAAAAAAAAAAAGGGGGAGGGGGCTTTTCCACACACAAATGCAATAGACATAACATCACACAAATTCAATTGCAATATTTACGGTGTTAAACATCCACTGGTTCTGAATTGCTTAGGAGATTAAGCATATGAAACACTAAACATGTTAACAATATACGAAAAATTAACAAATTGTATGTAATGTATAAGAATATACTTAATACTAAAATATCAACTAAAGCCAACAAGGCAGCAAAGATTAATCAAATAATGTCAACTTACCCTCTGAGCAAAATGGGTAGCATTTTCCTACTGATTTTCAAAGGGTAAAACAATAGGAAGATACTCTACTTGTACAATTTAATGAATGACTTCATTCAACTTTTTACGACATACAAGTTATTCAGTAACCATAATTCAAATTATAATATAGTCAACGACACATCATATAAATGCATGTACATTTAAGCTGATGAATAATCAGTATTGATGATTTGCGAGAGTGAGTTAGTTATCAAAAGAAAAATAGCAAATTGGGGCATCACTATAACAACCTATATATATGAATTGCCACCTCATACACCATACTACCCCAAAAATTTTACAAACAAAAATAGTGGGGGAAGCCAAGCTCAGTATATTTTCAATATATGCAACTATAGATAAATAACAAATCATTCAACATAACTCCATGAAATTGTGAAACTCTGAACATTCTAAACATGAGTTTTCCCAAAGCTATATTTCCCCTAAACAAAATGAAAGGCCATATGATGCAAGTTAGGTAAAGATATTACAAAAGACAACACCAAAACGGTTTCAACTAAAGAAAATTCTTACCAGGATTGGTCAAAGTGTACATGGGGATAGCGAACAATCACTAGATGGACAGGATATCCAAGGACAAATGCACAAAGTTGGAAAGAAATGAGAACTCTTCCATTTGTTGAGGTTCCCTTGAGAAATAAAAGCAGACGAGGAAATCTATCGGAAGAAGCCTCTCTTTGTATTCAGATCCTTGAAAGCACATTTCTGTATCAAATAATCCCTTGTAGATTGATAAAACTTAATACTCTGAATTCTTTTCATACAAAAAATGTAACTCCAAGAATACAAGTAAAATTGCTTTCAGTTTCCATATTTATTAGAACTCACCAAAATGATATTTGGACACCTGATATGCATATATTTGTTTGTAACTTTTAAAGTAGCTCTTACAACAACAAAAAATTTGTTTAATTTTTCTAAGCATTTGCAAACTACTTACATAATTTCACACCATTTCATTCTCTTTCTTCTTTCTTTTTTAACATGACCCTTATTTGACCAGCCAAAAAATTCCCCCTTCAACAAGAATTTGTACCAGCTTAATTACTTTCAATCTAACTTTTCCTAGTCACTATACAGGCAACAACTTAACAAATACAAAAAATAATTTATTAATGACTAGCCCAGAAAATCCCAAAAACTAAAGGTTTGGTTTTCATAATCAATTTTGAAAGATAATTTTCTAAAAATTTGTTTGGCTGTATATTCTAAAAATAGTTTTTAGAAATTTGAAAATCCAAAACTCATTTAGTTTTTAGAATCTAAAATAATTTTTAAAACTCTGATTGGTTTTAGGGTTTTCAAAAATAGTTTTTAAGTTTCAATCCGTATTTTATTATTTTTACTGAACTTCTTAAGTATTTTAATCAATGTTTTTCAAATTTTTAGATCCACTCAATCTACATACACCTAAAACGTATAAAATTTATTTTTAAAAAAAAAATGTCTAAAAAATCAGTAAATATTAACAAATATACAAATTTAATACATTTTCTTATGTATTTTGTATTTATTAAATTTCTTAAAGATTTTTAATTTTTAAATTTTTTTTTAAGTATATGTAGATTAGATAAATCTAAAAACTAAATAAATAAATAAAACAAATTAGCCAATATATTAAAAAAAATACAAATTAAAATTTTTAAAACTATTTTTGAAAACTCTAAAACCAAACAAAATTTTAAAAATTATTTACTCATTCCATAATGGTCCTCCTAATTTACATTTAACATATTTTTTTTTATTATTTTCAAAATTATTTTTTATTAATTCAAAATACAAGTGTAAACATTACATTGAGGCGGGTTTAGTTGTCAATAACATTATGTTAGGACTAATTGGAACATAAGATAAAAGATAGGACTAAATGGAGCATAAGATACATATTTGGGATTTATTGGTGCGTCGCCCCTGAAAATAACTTCCTCATCCAAAAAAATTCGATTAACTTGAAAATATGATGTATTGCATACTTCAGCGATTACTCATTCAAAAAAAATTTGAAAATCGATAAGCAAAAAGACATTAAAAATTAGCAATGCTGGAAATCTTTTCCATCAATCAGATTGTTTGATTAAGCTTTCTAAAATCTGTAAAAGTAAAAAATAAAAAATAAATAAATGAAAATAAAAAACACTTATCATTTTTCATATGAGTTTCTATTTTTGAAAAAATATTTTGTTTTTAAAATTTGAAAATAATTTTTAAATGTTTATATTTATCAAATTAGTTTCTGTTTTGATACCTAGCAATTTGACTCCACAGAGCTTATCACTCATCATTATCATCATCATCATCAACATCAACATCAACATCACCAAGAACGTCGATTTGAGGAATGTGAGCTAAGTGGCGCCAATATTTGCCTTTCCCCTTTTCACACTTCCCTGTTAGTTTCCGACTTCCCCTAATCCACAATCTCTTAAGTGAGGGAGGCAGCCTTTGCACTGGTAAAGATTTGAGCCTAGGGCAACCATCAATTTCAAGTTCTTCAAGAGAGGTGAGGTTTTGAAACAACTTAGAAGATAGCTTCTCCAGATTTCGGAAATCCCAGATGTAAAGATAGATCAGAGAGGTGGGCAACAACAGCCTATCTATCAGAAAGCTAGAACCCACCAGATCTTCTTCTTCTTTGCTTGAAATCGACAGTGTTTTAAGAGAGGATAAACTGTGCAAACCAATCTTTTTGAAGTTGTTGTTCCATTGTGAAATATTCATCCACAGAACTTGAAGAGAAGTAAGGTAGTTGATGGACTGCAATCGGTGTGGCAAGAGCTGCAAGTCCTTCAGTTTTTTGCATCCGGTGATAAACAATTGTCTCAGATTTTTGTGTGGTAAATCTCAAAGCAGGAAGGATGTCAATTTTTTTGTGTGGTAAATCCCATATTTTACTACGCAATACATTTACCCATTCCTCATCTCGTACTTTGCTGCATAAAAGGCCACCGAGTGTCCTAGCAGCCAGAGGCAAACTTTACATTTCTCCACAATCTCCTTACCAATTGATACAAATTTGGATATGCATCAATAATTGTATTCGCGAAGGCATGTCGTGCAAACAATGACCAACAATCCTCCTTTGATAGGATCTTAATGTCATGAAGTTCAACAGTTGTCATCATTCCTGAAACTTCTCTGTCACGTGTAGTCACCAGAACTTTACTCCCTTGGGCTCCATCATTGAAAGGTTTCTTCAAAACATTCCAGTCACTGTCTTTTTTGTTCCAGACATCGTCTAAAACAATTAAGAACTTCTTTCCAGCCAAAGCATTCTTTAGTTTAACTTGAGCTTGCTCCAAGTTATTAAAACTGCAAGTTTGGGCAGTCACTAAATCATAAATTGCTTTTGTTATCTCATAATGTTAAACTCATCTGACACACAGACCCATACTTTCAAATCGAAATGCTTCTGCACGGTTTCATGGTTGTATACCATCTGAGCGAGGGTGGTCTTGCCAATCCCACCCATACCCACAATGGGAATTACACCAACGTTGCTATGACTTGATTCATCCCCCTTACGAGCAGCTCAATTATCTTACTCTGATCATGTTCTCACCCATAAATGCGAGGTTCATTACTCTGGTTTTTGCCAAGTCTTAGTAGGTGTAGGTGTAGGTGTGGTTCCAACAATCTTAACCAAATTAAGTTTCGAACATTGTTCAAAACTATTGTGTAATCTGGTATTGATGTCCTCAATCTTGGACCTCATTTTGAAATTAAACATGACAGAAGTTGGCTTGAAATTGGTACAACAAGTGGGGATGAAGTTCCATACCTTGCTGGAACTAGCTAAGGGTGGCTCAGACATTAGCTTCTGTCGCAAAGCTTCGGTGGAGAAGTCGTCCACTAAATCATCCAAATCATATGCCAAATCCTGGAGATCGTCCAGTCACTGGTTCACGACTCGATCGGTCAATTGCTTATCCTCTGCGTCAGTGAGAAGTGCTTGAATTTGGGAGAGAGGGTTGGTCCAATCGCTCAGCTGGGCATGAATGCCCTCGTGGCGGAGAAATTCCAACCACTCACCAGAGGCCATCTTTCCCAAGAGCACTTTCAGGAACGCACCGAGAAAGACTTCTACGATAGCCATTGATTCCAATTGCGGAAGGCAAGGGAAGGGAAGGGAAGGGAAAACCCAAATTAGACGCAAAGCAAAGAGACGAGATTGTTGATTTTTCTTCAGTAAAAAAAAAGGCTTTAGAATTTGTGAAACAAAACAAAACACTAATAAGTATTGGTTTGGGAAGAAAAAAGACAGCTTTTTTTTCTTTTTTTTTTTTGGTAAATTATACTGGCACGCTTGATTTATTACAGTTTTCTTATCTTTTAGGAATTATTTTTTTTTTTTTAGATTTAAAGTTTCATTATAGATTCTCCTTCAATAATTTAATTTTTTTTAAATATCAATTTTGCCCTCATTAAGTAAATTATATTGACATCCCTCACATTTTAGAAATTACAATCCCCTCGCTAAGGTTTAAAGTATCATTACCAATTGTCCCATCAATTAGTATTAGTTGGAAAAAAAAAATTATTTGAAAAAAAAAATTGTTAGTAAAATTTTTAAATTTTTGCTTAAAAACCTATGTAAACTCATTTTTTAAATTTATGTTTTTTTCTCAAATTTACAAATTGAGACAACCATTTATAAACCAAAAAAATTATCAAATAAGTTTTTATGACATTTTTTAAAAATTTTGTAAATATAAATTGAAAACTAAAAACGAAACGGTTACCAAATAGGCCTCAGATGGTAAAAATGTCGTAAAATTGACAAATAATTAAATAAGTTACCAACGTAAGAAATGACTTATCAAAATATTCTTAGGCTATGTATGGTTTGATTTTTAGATTTTTTTTTTAAATTAAAAATTAATTTGGTTAAGAAATAGAAAAAAAAATAAATATCATTTTAACTTTTGGGTAGGTTATATACATACGTATGCCTGTTTCAATTTAATTTGTAAAAAATTATTTATAACCACTCGAAATATAAAAATGATAATTATTTTTTATTTCTTAACCAGATTAATTTTTAATTTTTAAAAAAACTTCTAAAAATCAAACCATACATAGTCTAAGAATCTTTTGATAAATCATTTCTTACGTTGGTAACTTATTTAATTATTTGTTAATTTTACGATATTTTTGCCACCTAAAGCCTGTTTGATAACCATTTCGATTTTAATTTTTAATTTATATTTACAAAAATTTAAAAATTGTCATAAAAACTTGTTTGATAATTTTATTTTTTTTTATAAATGGTTGTCTCAGTTTGTAAATTTGAGAAAAAAAACGTAAATTCAAAAAATGAGTTTATGTTGGTTTTTAAATAGAAATTTAAAAATTTTACTAACAAAAATTTTTTTCAATTTATTTTTTTTTCCAATGGATTTTTTTTTCAATGAATTTTTTTTCCAACTAATACTAACTGATGGGGCAATTGGTAATCCTATTTTAAATCTTAGGGAATGGATTGTAATTTCTAAAATGTGAAAGGTGTCGATGTAATTTACCTAGTGAAGACAAAATTAGTATTTAGAAAAAATTAAATTGCTGAGGGGGGAATCTGTAATGAAACTTTAAATCTTAGGGGAGGAGTTGTAATTTTCAAAAGGTGAGAGAGAAACTGTAATAAACATAAACCTCAGGGGGTGTCAATGTAATTTACCTCCTATTTTTTTTTTGGCTAAAATAGTCACAAAAAATAGAATAGACTGAATAAGACCAAATATCACATCCAATTTATAATAAGACAAAATATCACATCTAATCTATAATTATTACATTTTTTCTCTCACAAAAATTAAAAAAATTAAAAATCTTTTTCAAACGAGACATTTTAATCACAAATTAAAGTAATCAAAAAAAAATCAAAAAGTCAATCCCTCCCCAAACGAAGTCATCTCTCACACACGCGCCGCAGGAAAATAAAGAAATCAAAAAAATCAAAAGTGTTTTTCAAACGAGACATTTTAATTTCAAATTAAAATAATCAAAAAAAATAAAAAGTCAATCCCTCCGCCAAACGAAGTCATCTCTCACACGCGCCACAGGAAAATAAAGAAAGTGAGAGAAAAGTTACAAAACTTGTGCGCCATTTGGATTGAAATTGAGAGGGAGTATTTAAGCCAAGTTTGTGAAGATTAAATAAGTGTATTTTTTAATTTTTATTGTATTATGTGTAGAAAAAGTAGAGATGAGATGTTGATTGATGTGACCCAAAAAAGATAAAAAGATAAAATAAGTGCACTTATTTTGTTTAGCCAAACCTGGCCTTAAAATAAGTGTACTTTTTTATTTTTTAATAAAAAAAGTAAAGGAAAAAAAGATATATGTTTAGAATAATTTTTTAATTTTTTACAAAAAATGTGTATTAAAATATTATATAAAATAATAAAATTATCATATTACTCCTAATATAGAACAAGGCGTACTGACAGTGATTAAGACTTATAGCCAGTACGATGGGCAGCATACTTGAGAACATGTATAGAAGAAGTTTGCCTCCAGTCCGAAATCAGATTAGACGGTGTTGTTCGGCCCGTGGAGGCCCACCATAGGTCTCATTTTGATAATCGAAATCGTTCAATGTGTAAAATTCGTCGAGTACTATATGCTTGTAAAAAATCACGTTGATCGGATATCGATAAATATCTCATCTAATTAGTTTTTTGTGAACCGTTAACTTGTCCACCGTCCATTTTTTGTATACAAAACTGATTTGATCATATAGTTATCTATATCTGATCAACGTGATTTTTTGTAGACATATAGTACTCGACGAGTTCAACACATTGAACGGTTCAGATTATCAAAACAGGACCCGTTATGGGCCCCAATGGGCCGAACAGCACCGTCCTGTTTGTACACCCGCCTATGTATTTTCTACAAACAAAGTCAGATTGTACCATCACTTCAGAAGTGAGTTGGCTTGTACTTTTTTTTGTGTGAATTTATTTTTTTTTATATTTTTAATTTGTGAATAGTGATAACTTTTTAACTTTTTTAATAACTTTTTATCTTTTTTAGGTTTACCCAAACCAGCCCTGAAAAGTGAAATTACATTGGAGGGTGTTTGAGAAGGCAAAATTTGATTTTTTATTTTTTTTAGTTAGAATTTACAAAATAAATAAATAAATAAATAAAAGAGTGATGCTATTAGCACCCCATAGATTATTTTGGATCCCCCATTTTTTTAAACTCTCACTTATAAATTTTGAAACCCTTAAAATTTCTTTTCTCCCTCCAAATAATACTAAAATTATCCTTGTAAAAACATTTCACCCATTGAATGCACACCCCCTACACTCCTACATCCCAAAAAACCCCACTTTCAAAAAAACCCTAACAAAGCCCATGAAGAAGAGGAGGTAATGTGATTACTGTCTCTATTGCCTCATCTACCATTGTCACAGTTAGTATGCTCTCTCTCTCTCTCTATATATATATATATATATATGTACACAGAATTTCTTAGTTTTCTCATAATAATTTTTTTTCTTACAAAAAAAATTATAATGATTGATTTAGTTTTCTCAGTAAAACAGGTCCAAACCTAAGAATAATGTTCAGTTACCTGTTTCTGAACAAACAATAAATGTTCAGTTATCGGTTTCCAAACAAATAAACAATGTTCAGGCATGTGTTCCCGAATTTTGGTCATATGTTCAAGAGTTCAATCCCAAAAAAATAATGAACAGATTTTATTATTTTTGCCATTTTTTTTCAAGAAACTTACCCTTATAAGGCTGTAACAACCCTCATACTGTTTACCGACTTATGACTGATTGATTACCGATAACCATCGATTACCGTTAAACTGAATTGATTATGACTGATAATTGAACTGATTAAAGTACTGAACTGACTGACTGAAACTGGAATCGAATTGACTGAGTATATGTTAGTTAAATTGCATTCTATCTGTTTGACTGTATGATTATCTGTTCATGCTTATATGTTTAAACTGCTAATTGAAGGCCTTATCGGCGGCCGAATCCGGAATTGATTAATGTTTTATGATCGTCATGATTAATGTGATTTTATGGTATACTTACCTGAAAACTGATTAGGTATGATTAAATTAGATTAAAATAAGCCAAGTAAAGAGTTTGACTTAATTACAACCTTGCCCTTGAATGGGCCACTACCTATACACCTTTGAATTCATTTCACTTAAATCAAAACCATTTCCTCAGCCCTTTTCCTTGCTCTGGCCGACCATAGAGAGAGAGAGAGATTGAGTTTCATCTTGTGAATTGCTTGGTAATTTAAGAATTCGTTAAGGAGATTGCATATTTGAGCTCCCTTCTTGAATTACAAGACTAAAGGTAGCTCCATTGTCTTCTTGTTCATGTTTTGAGTTGATTGTTGCATGGTCCATGTTAGATTGTAGAGCTAAGTCATGATTTGGTCCATTAATGGTGAATTGAAACTCAATCTTTGCATGCATGTTAGTATTGTTGGATTTTGAGTTGAGCTCATGGCAAAATGTTACATGCATGTTCACAACTATGTTTAATTCCATGATTTCATCATGTTTTGAAAAGAATTGGCTCTTTAGAGCATCAGATCGAAGCTTTGAAATGGTTTGAATTCATGCATGTTTGCATGTTCATCTTGTACTTGGAAAAAATGGTTTAAATTGAGTTTGAATTAAACACCCTTGGGCTTTGATTTCTAAAAAATTGAGCTTTGAAACATGATATTCTATGCGTTTATAAATGTTTTCCAGAAAATGGGCCCAAGAGGATTGGTTTTGATGCTTTTGAGCTTGGTTTTGGACCTGGAGCTCGAATCTGGGATTTCCAGATTTCAGTCGCCCGCTCGAGCGGGGGAAGTGCCGCTCGAGCGGGAAAATCGAGCTTCCAGCATCTTGCACTGTTTTACAGTCCGCTCGAGCGGAGGATTGGGAGCTCGAGCGGAGTCACGTCTCAAGCTCGAGCGGGCGTCGAGCGGAGATTTCACCCATCCAGTACTTTTACAGTACGCTCGAGCGG